TTTTGCCTGTCCTGGCAGCAGCAGCTCACACAGTGGAGTGATGCCACATAAATTACTTCCCAGCATCAGCATTGCTGCTGCTTACCTGCAAGGGTGAAGTGCCAGCTTTGTGGATGGCGCACTGAATTAGCCCTGCTTCTGCTTCCACACAAGCTCAACCTCTCTGCCACCACCTCACCCCTTTCAATGGAGGCTATTTCTGTAAGTGTGCCCCACTCAGAGAGCCATTTCTGCTTGTTGGGGATAATCGGGTTTTGTTTTCTTTAAGCCCTGTTTCCAAGGATGCATTCGTGATATCACAATGGTCTGTTTGCAGATGACACCGTCCTCTGAAGGCACGCTTATCACAAATATGAATCTTGAGACACTGTCAAGCCATAGCTGTCAACGTTTCCCTTTTTTAAAGGGAAATTCCCTTATTGCAAATAGGATTCCTTGCAAGAAAAGGGAAGAGTTGACAGCTATGTGTTAAGCTATTGTAGGAATGCAAGAAGCTGACTTGTGGTTTTTTCCCTATAGCCTTTTTCCTATCAGTGTAAAGGTAAAGGTAAATGGACCCCTGACCATTAAGGTCCAGTCGTGGCCGACTCTGGGGTTGTGGTGCTCATCTCGCTTTATTGGACGAGGGAGCCGGCGTACAGCTTCCAGGACATGTGGCCAGCATGACTAAGCCGCTTCTGGCGAACCAGAGCAGCGCACGGAAACGCCGTTTACCTTCCCACCGGAGTGGTACCTATTTATCTACTTGCACTTTGATGTGCTTTCAAACTGCTAGGTTGGCAGGAGCAGGGACCGAGCAATGGGAGCTCACCCCGTTGTGAGGATTCGAACCGCCAACCTTCTGATCTGCAAGTCCTAGGCTCTGTGGTTTAACCCACAGCACCACTGTGATCAGTGTAGATCTATCAGTGTAAACTGAGTCAGATCGTTGGTAAAATCTTGGTAAAATTGGCAAAATGTCCAGCAAAACCTGAATGCATGGCAACAACAACAACAACAACAACAACAACAACAACAACAACAAATAATAATAATAATAATAATAATAATAATAATAATAGTAATAATAATAATAGCCCAACAACTTTGAGATGAACAATTTTGTCCGGATTTTCACTTTTGGGAATATGACAATTCTAGTCCAGCTGAATATTGTCTACACTGAGCAGCCACTGTTGTCCAGTGTTTCCAATAGGGATATTCCCAGATGTATCAGGAGATGCTGGGAACTGAACTAGGAACTTTGGCATATGAAGCAGACGCTCCGTTGTTGCCAGTGAGTGTGGCCAATACTGGGCTAGATTGACCAATGGTCTGATTCAGTCTGAGGCAGCCTCTTGTGGTCCTGTGAAGCTCAGGGCCAATTGCTATAGCAACAGGGTTGTTGTGAGGAACAAAACAGAGGGATACTATGTATGCTGCCCCGAGCTCCTTGGAAGAATGACAAGATAAAAATATTGTTAGTGAATAAATAATTATTTGGGAAAGGGTCCCTATCAGGCATGCCAACTCCTAGGGGCAGAGGTGTCTTCGGCCCCCTCAAAATCTGCTGGCATAGGATAGGCCCCTTCAATGTTGAATAGGCAGAGGAGGCCGATTGGCAAGCTAAGCACAGCACAGTGCAGGTTAGTGGCTGACTTCTCCTGAGTGCGAGAAAGGAAGTCGTGATGGGCACCAGGCACATGATGTCATGCACACACACCGCCCCCTGCCCCCAAATCTTGGGTGCAAGATGGAGCCTCTGGTCCCTTGTGTGATCGTTTGTGTTGGCAGTGTCACTGTATGAGGGCGATGAGATTGCTTGTCTGCTGCCATTACAGATCATAATGGTGTGGTTTGTTTTTTTAATGTGTCAGTTGTGTAGTTGTGAAAAAATGCTTCCTCTCCACTCATACCCACTCATATACCCTTTACCACCTCTAGGGGTCAGTTTATGTGAATATCAATGTGAACCACCCTGTTTTGCACCTCCGAGGACTAATGTTCAGCAGATAATTATCCTTCTTCCATTATTGCAGTTCTTCAGGTTTTGCAATATCGTTGTCAGCTGAAAAGGGGTAAGGTACCAAACGGCATTTTAAAACATGCATTTTAGGAAGGAATTTGTTTAGAAATCTGTGCAATTATTTAACATATATATTTAGATATTTATTTTGTGATACAATCAGTATTAAATGTGAATTTCAATATACAGTGGACGCTCGGGTTGCGAACGTGATCCGTGCGGGAGGCACGTTCGCAACCCGCAGTGCCGCATGGGTTGCGATTTGGCGCTTCTGTGCATGTGCAAAGCGCGATTTAGTGCTTCTGCGCATGCACAAGAACCCAAACCCAGAAGTAACCCAATACTTCCAGGTTTGGCGCAGTGCGCAACCCGAAAACTCACAACCTGAAGCGTCTATAACCTGAGGTATGACTGTACATTTTTGTTTAAAAAGATTGCAGATTAACTTGGAAACAGGATGGGATGGCTTTCTGAATGAACCCACACAAAATTGGACACGGGCCAGAAATGCAATGCTCCATGTATCTCTTAAACACCGCCCCGTGCTATCTTAACTGTAGGAAATAGGTTTAGCACGGTCAGTCCTGTGTGACTTTTCCCTTGCTAAATCACACACAGCGCATCATGGAATGCATGGCTGACGCCTCTGGTGAAGCAAGAATGTGAAGTTGCCGTTCTTTAACTCCCTTCTCCCTTTTTATTGCACACAATATTCACAACTAGTCAAAACAAGTGTGCTAATCGTGGAAACAGGAACAGCAATGAACAGTTGCTTCTCTTTCCCAGCACTCATGTACTCATAACTGTAATCCTAATTGGAGGCAGTAAATAAAAGGGGGATAATTAATGTTCATCAATTTTCACTAATTTCCTACTAAACTATCAGTGTCTCTCTCTGTCTCTCTCTGTCTCTCTCACTCACACACTGAAGGCATATGCTCTGTAGTCCTCAGTCTGTCAGAGCTTCAATGTGTGTGAGCATTCTATACTGTCACATTCGCTTTGAGCAGATAGAATATTCGCAAGCATGTCATAAAATCACACCAGCTCTGCTAATAGCTCAACGGACTCTCAGACAAACAGTTCTGTGGAGAGACCCTGTCCACTCCACACTTAACACACCTCCCTTCAAATAAAATGCACACTTAACACACCTCCCTTCAAATAAAATGCTGACTAGCGCCACCCACAAAAAAAGCACTGACCATTTTATTGCAATTCTCTCTGTGCTCCCCTTCCTGCTCCCTTCCACCCACTGGCAACCTATTCAGAAATCTGCAAATCCCTGAAGAATATAGCACTAATTTTCTTCCTGTGGAGGCTGCAGGTTTTCTATTTGCATTCATTTACTGAAGTTTCACTTTCAAAGAAAGTTTCACTTTCATTTGAGTATGATAATGCCTTAATGTGAAAAGTCTGTGAATATGAAAAAGGTCCCTCTAGGGTGTGTTTCAGTAGCATGTTGACAAAGACGCTGTTGAGGGTTGAGTGGCAGAAAGTAAGTCTTTAGTTACAAATGCTTTTTTTAAAAAAAAATGTAATGTCAAGGAACTAACTGAACATCATATTGTTTGGCATTGACCTGATTTTTCAAAAAATGTATTCATAAATTAAACAATTTCTGCTTCTTTCCCTCCAGGACAGGAAAAGAAAAATAATTAGGTAGCACTTTAACTTGCAAGAACATTAATTACCCTAAGCTATATGTGAAATGTTGCTGTATGCAGATGAGGAGGATTATAATCTATTCAACTTTATAAATGTCCCACACTTGCATGAGTGAGCTGTGCATAATTATTTGAGCTGAGTTGAAGTGATGTGTGTGTGTGTGTGTGTGTGTGTAGTTTCACAAATATTTCATCACAGAAAAACACTCATTTTGCTCAGCAATTTTTTAGGGAAGACTTAATGAGGAGGTGAATGTTCCCATTGCCAAGACAACCAGGCTAATGCTCCCTGCCTTGCAATGTTGTGATGTAATGGGGGTCGCTCCATTGCCAACGCAACTCTTTCCTGCCTTCCTTTACCATACTGAAAAGGAAGAGTATCAACCTGGCTGCCATGGTAATGTGGGAATGAGGTTTCCTCCCATGCAATGAAAGCAACACAGCTTCAATTGACATCAGAGGCATTGCCAGAAAGCAAAGTACGATGGGCTGCATAGCACCATGACATTATTTCGGTCGCTACGTGATCCCTGTTTTCCTGGGATCGTTCAGTGAAAGAAAAATTGACCTGAATCAGAAATGGAGAGCAATGTGGTGGTAAGCAAGCCTTTTCCCATAGAAGATGTGTGGCTGTGACATTAACATATGAGAGTGCTGGAGGTGAAATAGCTAAGCAGGTTACCCAATCAAGACCCAGGGGGGTGGAGTCAGAGGGACTATAAAACCAGCTCTGGGAGGGGCGAAGGGAGGAGTTCGTTGGGTGTTGGGTGGTTGGTTGGAGTGGGAGTGAATTGGGCTAGAGTTGTGGGGGGGTTGAGTTAGTGTAGCGAAATAAGCTGAGTCAGGAATAGTTAGGGGCTAGGAAGACAAGTAAATATCTGAGAGGTGGTTTAGTGAGTGAGAGCAGGTAGCAGAAGTTATAGGACTGGAGAGGCACCCCATGATTGTAATTGAACGATACCATTTATGAAACCACATGCTTGTTAAACTCCAATCAATAAACAGGAGTTTATATTCCAATTTAACCCTGACTAGACTCAGTATTGTACCAGGTAGGGCCTGGGTGGTGGCAGCGAGAAATAAAGTGGTGGCACAGGGATCAATAGACAGTGAAATGTCCAGGGACCCTGTGTGATTGCCACAGTGGCATTTTTCAATCATTTCTATTCTTCTTTCTTTCTTTCTTTCTTTCTTTCTTTCTTTCTTTCTTTCAACATGGAATTTGGACTTTTCCAAGTGCCATATTATGTTTGCTCCACACCTGCGAGGAATCAAATTTTCTATCTGGCAGTACCTATGCCTTGGAAATCCCTGGTTATTGACATCTGGGATAGCTCAACTTGGTAGAACATAAGACTCTTAATCTCACAGTCATGGGTTTGAGCCCCATAATAAGCAAAAGATTTCTGCATTGCAGGGGATGGATAAGATGACCCTCATGGCCCCTTCCAACTCTACAATTCTATGATTTTATGAGGTAGGCACCCTTGCAGTACTGCTGCAGACGCCCACCTTACTCAAATCTTCCATTTCCCCAGCTAAGCTGCAATTCTCTTTAAAACAGAGGGAGCAAACTGATCAGATTGCAAACCTGCCGGTTCATTAATACTGGAGGCTTTTCAGCAAATACCAAATCCATTCATTGTCAAGAATATGAAGGAGGAGGACGAACAGAATGCAAAGTAGCACAGGACCATCAAAGGCAGAGCATAGCAGAAGCTTTACCCTGGGATCTCCTGTCACAGTCTTCACACCTCCCTGTGTGTGACAGCAACTTCCGTTTGACATACTGCTGAACAAAATCCACGGGGGATCCACACACCCACCACATTTGATCCCCCGGAGTGCTGCAGTTGCTGCAAAATCTTGGGGGAAATCTCCAAGGCCTGTGACTTCCCTGCTTCCAAGAGGAAACCATTCACAATTGTGAACTGCTACATGATGTGGTTCTGTAAGAAGGCAAGAAGAGCCTGCTAGATCAGGCATAGGCAAACTCAGCCCTCCAGATGTTTTGGGACTACAATTCCCATCATCCCTGACCACTGGTCCTGTTAGCTAGGGATCATGGGAGTTGTAGTCCCAAAACATCTGGAGGGCCGAGTTTGGCTATGCCTGTTCTAGATCAAACCCATGGTCCATCTGGTCCAGCCTCCTGTTCTCATAGTGGCCAACCAGATGCCAGATGTGACAGGCTTGCAAGCAGGAAACGGAGCCCCAAGGCACTCTGTCCTCCTGTAGCAGAGGCAGACTTTGGACTCTCAAATTTCAGCGGCGTCCTGTGTGATGCTAAAATTTGGCACCCCCGGAAACTTGAAGCCTTCCTTTTATGAATTCTAGGTGCCGAAAACCCAAGGGAGCTATTCCAATATTTGTTGGAAGCTGCCCAGAGTGGCTGGGGAAGCCCAGCCAGATGGTCGGGGTATATTATTATTATTATATGCAACCATGGCTGCACAAATGTTATGGTCCCAGAGATGGAAAGAAGATAAAGTCCCTACCAGAGAAGAATGGCAGATGAAGTTGATGGACTCTGCTGAAACAGCTAAAATGACCGGAAGAATCAGGAATCAGGAAGACCAAAATTTTAATAAGGAATGGGGAAAACTTATAACTTATCTTAAAGACCATTGTAAACAGTTGGATTGGAATATCACTTGTGGTTTAAGGGTGAATTCTGGACACAATAGAGTTGTAAAAGATTTGGATCATCATAAAAGATGCAGGAAGAAATGATTCATAATAAGACCTACAAAGGGGAGGGTGAAAGTCCAGGAGATTTCAAGTAATCTTATTTTTAATGGTCTATGTTCGAGTTACGACTTTAAAAATTTAATCTGAAAAACAAAATAAATGAAAATTTTAAAATAAAATAAAATTTGGCAACCCCCGCCTCTCACACTCCATTCTACCGTATTGTTGTGGCACCCCCTGCAGTGTGGCTACCAGTACAGCCCAACTGGTTGTGCTAATCTAAAACCGCCTCTGCCTAAAACCACCTGGCCTTCAGAAGCATTATGGCCTCCAACAGTAGATCAAGGCTACAGGCCATTAACAGCCCGATCCTCCATGAATTTGTCTAATCCTCTTTTAAACTCACCCAGGTTCGTGGGCATCCTCACATCTTGTGAGGAGTGCGTTCCACAGTCTGCGCACCGTGCGTTGCAATCAAAATGTCGGTAGAAAACAGCATCAGACAGATGTCTGGAAACATTGACTTTTCCTGCCACGCTCGTTCCTTGCACATGGCATCAGGTTAACAGCAGTTAGCCCTGTTCCTTGAGTGACGGCACTGTCCAAAGGTAGCCTGTTGAGATACTGATGAAGATAAGTTTTTTTAAAAAATCCTCATGCTGCACCTCAGTCTCTCAGCTGACCATGTCTCTTGAAGTACCCATGTTGCATGCCCATGCCAATAGGCATTGCAATAATCCAATCATCGGAGGTGGGTTTAAAGACCCACTGAGAAAGATTTCAGTTGAACCATTCAGTATTTTTAATGGGGTTCCATTTCAGCAGTCTTAAACGATAGTGAGCTGATTGGTTCTGTTGCGTTGGGGAGGTTCTGCGGTTTTCCTGCATATCCCTGCATTGTAAGGGGTTGGACGAGGTGATCATCAGGAACACTTCCAACTCTATAATTCTATACCTACAGGACCGCCTCTCCTGGTATGCACCGCAGAGGACCTTAAGGTCCACAAATAACAACACTTTGGAGGTCCCGAGCCTCAAGGAGGTTAGATTGGTTTCAACTAGGGCCAGGGCCTTTTCAGCACTGGCCCCGACATGGTGGAACGCTCTGTCACAAGAGACTAGGGCCCTGCGGGACTTGACATCTTTCGTAGGGCCTGCAAGACAGCTGTTCTGCCTGGTCTTTGGTTTGGACTTGGTCTGACCCTTATGTTTCCCTCCCCTTATGGTCTTGATTTATCAGCTACTTTAAAATGAGGCTGCATTTTAAATTGCATTTTAACCTGTACAATGGTACCTCAGGTTACATACACTTCAGGTTACAGATGCTTCAGGTTACAGAGTCTGCTTACCCAGAAATAGTACCACGGGTTAAGAACTTTGCTTCAGGATGAGAACAGAAATCGTGCTCCGGCGGTGCAGCAGCAGCAGTGGGAGGCCCCATTAGCTAAAGTGGTGCTTCAGGTTAAGAACAGTTTCAGGTTAAGAACGGACCTCCAGAACGAATTAAGTTCTTAACCTGAGGTACCACTGTATTTAAAATTGGTTTTTTTCTTTTCTCCACCACCCCTCTTTCCCCCCTGTTATGTTTTTACTGTGATTTTATTGGTGTTAGCCGCCCTGAGCACAGCTCTGGCAGGGGAGGGTGGCGTATAAATAAAATTATTATTATTATTATTATTATTATTATTATTATCATCCTATTGCAGGAGTCAAGCAAACACTGGGAAGCAAAGGCTATTGTGAAGCTACATTTTTTTAAAATGTAGAAATAAAACTATACATATCATTTGCCTACCTCTTAATTATGATAGGGTAAAACCAAGCAGAAGACAAACCCTATTCCCCCCATAAGGGATTATGGAAGAATGGCCCCTGAACCTATTTGTCTTCAATGTGAGGCACTTAATCCAGTCTGGAGAGGCTTCCATTCCTTCAGTGTTCATCTACGTTTTACAAAAGGCAGGGAAATTATAGCCATTTTTAGGTTCCCCGTTATAGTGAATGGGCAGTACAGAGCTTTGTTGGGCTTGGATCCCAAATTACACTGGAGAGAGCGTAGAGTGGCTCAAAAACCTATCAGAATTTTTAAAAACACAGAGATAGAAGGCAAAAAGGGGTGGTGGTGGAAGTACAGTGGTGCCCCGCAAGACGAATGCCTCGCAAGACGGAAAAACCGCTAGACGAAAGGGTTTTCCGTTTTGAAGTTAGCCATAAAGCGAATTCCCTATGGGCTTGCTTCGCAAGACGAACATATCTTGCGAGTCTTGAGATTTTTTTCGCTTTCCCCCTTTATCTAATCTGCTAAGCCTTTAATAGCCTTTAATAGCCTTTTAGCAGCTAATCCCCTAAGCCTTTAAGCCTTTAATAGCCGCTAAACCGCTAATAGCGCTAATAGCGCTAATCCGTCAATGGGCTTGCTTCGCAAGACGAAAAAAGCTAGACGAAGACTCTCGTGGAACGGATTAATTTCGTCTTGCGAGGCACCACTGTATACTTCATACAACCTTAGTATATACATCTCTCCTCACATAGGAATGTGATGCATATAATTCCTACATCCACTCTTCCCACTAAAAAACAGCAAACACCCTTGAGATTGAAGGTTGCCAAATCACTACTCAGAAAAGCTAGTTCTGATTGAGCAAAAGCTTAAACCATTAAAAAAAAAATTCTGCCCAGCATGATAGCACAATCATCTTGAGAGTGGTGATCTCTAATGCCTATTTATTTCCGGATGCTATTTTAAGACACCCATAGAAAGACTGGGGCTGCCACACAGCAGTTTATATCAAAGATCCAGTTCTTTATGACTTCCTGGAAGAGTTCTGTGTAGTTTATCCATGCTTCCAAAAAAAGAAAAAAAAGGATGCTTCCTTTCTGTAACGGAAAAGCTGAAGTTGGCACCTGCAATGACGTAAGCCTCATGACTCACCTGCCTGAATGGAGGTCTCTTTTAGGATCAAAATGTGTCTGGAGAATAGACCTGTGAGGTCCCCAATAAAAGACCTTCTCAATGAAGCCATCGGCCCTACCTCAGTACAATGCAGAGCCCTTGTGAAGGCTGAGGTGGAGCAGCTGGCCAGCAGCTTTTGCGTGAGCCCTCAGAAAAGCCACTCTCACAGCTGGAGAGAAAATAGCCCTGGCAGCATTGGCGTTCCATTATGGGAGCTGAAAAGTCCTTTTCAGGGCGGAAGGGAAACTTCACCAGCTGTCAAGTAGTCGAGATGTTTAGAGTGCACACGCACACACACCAAATACCCGGCACTCACAATGGGTAGAATGCAGAGGCCATGCAACAGGAAATTAGAGCTCCTTTGGGAAATGAGGATATTGTGGGCTGATGAGTTCGCTTTTAGAAATCAATAAGTCTTTCAGTAAGTGGTAATATCAAGCACTTTTCTGTGCTCTGGAAAAAACGCTCCCTGGCTGCTGGCTCCATCTTATTCATCTCTGAGCAACCCGAAAGGATGGCAGAGATCTTAAAAAGCTGTTGACCTGTGTGCAGGTTGTAGTCCAGATATATTGATCGGGAAGATTAATGTTTCTGGGAGAGTAAGAACAGCACCGTGCAGTGCAATCAGTTCCAACCTTGTTTCCTTCTTGCCTACTTTCTGGAGTGTCCATTTATTGAGCGGGTTGTCATATAAATCAGTTTGAGCTTATGGGTTGCTGAATCCACACATTTGCTATGAAACACACGGAGATAG